TGATGCAATATATAGATCAGAATACAACACCAAGGACGAACATCAAAAGACAAGACGACCTCACTACACTCGAGAGAGAATGACCAACTATAATCGATATGCCGCTCACAATCACAACTCAAAGGATTTAGAGTACGACTTGACCTCGCAGAAAAGGACTTCATTGAACTAGACCAATGACCACCTCGATGTTCAAGTATACGTACAGATCCGAGTAACCAGGCATCCCCTCCACGCACAATCTCCACGCCATTCCCGAGCTAGATCAAACACAAAAGAAGTTCTCTCCGAAGAACAGAAAAACCTGACATAGCCAACCATTCTGAAACCAGAATTGATGCTGTTGCAGAGACTCAGTCGTTGTCACAAGAAGAACACAACGTCTTGTGTCCTCAATTCCAGATCCCTGGAACTTCCTTAACAAAAAGGAAACAAAAGAAAAATGATGTTCGCCAAATACCAACGTCCATCATCCATCCTTGAACTACAAAAGAACTGTTCTAAAAAACTCTGTAAAACCCGGATGGGTGGAACCTGATCTAAACTATATTTTATGATTGGATAAATTAAATGTTTTACCAATGTAAAGTATTTAATATTAACCAATCATGATCCATCTAACTAACAACCCACTTATTTGTAAGTGCTGAAGTTACTTGTAATTTCAGCACCAGAGAGATTTGAATTTAACTTAGAAATTAGTCGGACTCTCCCGAGCACTTCAGCAGCCGCAATAAACCAGTATACCCTAGATCTATTGAGCCTAGCAGAGACTAGTTAAACAACCTGAGACTAGATAGTATAAGAGTAAGATTAGGATCGGTATTAGACTAAGAAGTTGCACGAATCTATCCGGCCGAAAATAAGATAGCGTGACGAGCAGACGGTGTACCCTATCCGAAATTACTCTATGAGTTACACTCCAGTCCTAACTCATTATAATCGATTTAACCGAAAAGCCAAAATCATCTTTTATGATTGATTATTATTTTTTGACAATTAATTCATTTTGAGTATATAACGAAGGCCCACAATTCCCTTTTGAGCGCTCTTTTTCAAATCGCTCTTCTATTGCGATTTGAAAATCGCTAATATATCCCCACAGTTTTTTTTGTTACTGAAATTCGCTTCGTTTTCACAATAGAATTTGTCCCCCAACCATCACTGCGTTTCCCGCGCTCACCAGAAACAAAGAGCGCAAAAAAACTTTTACGCAGAACTAATATTTCGACACTTCGAAACCAATTCAGAAAAAAATGAAACAAAAAACTGACCAATGTTTTTTAGGCATCGACGTTTTTCCGGACATGTTCTATCGCGAAAATGAAGCTTGCTTCGTTTTCACAAAAGAAGATGTCCTCCAGATACCACCACGTTCCTCGCGCTCACTCCTAACAAATGTCACAAAATGATCAGATTTTACGCGCATGTTCACATTTTTTTGAGAAACATTTTACGGGCAGGTTCTGTTGTGAAAACGAATCTCTTTTCGTTCTGATAATACAACATATTCTTCAACTACCGCTACGTTTATCGCGCTCACCCTAACAAGAAGCACAAAAGACTCACGCAGAAATACCATTTAGATAATTTGAAGTAAATTTAGAAAAAGTGGAAAAACCAAACCAATTTTTCCGACAGCGTGAAACAATTTTAGATAAAAACTGGGGAAAAAACATCAAACTAAATTTTCTGGTTTCGGCAAACATTGTTTTGGCAATGCTTTTTTGTGAAAAAGAAGATCGCTTTGTTGTGTACGCAAACGAGGAGCACAAGAAGTGTACGCAAATATATTTACTGATTAATAAGCAAAAAATTTCAAGAAAAAAGAAAAAAATCAGACCAATTTCGCCTGAATTGAGTATAATTTTTCGGACATATTTTGTTGTGAAGATGCAGCGCGCTGAGTTTTCACAACAGAACTTGTGTGCCAACCACTACCACATTCCTCGTGCTCACCCACAACAAGTAGTTTAAAAGGCTCACGCAGAAATATTAAATTTACAGTTTGAATAATTTTCAGAAAAAAAAATCAGGCAATTTTCTCAAGACCGTGAAATCTTTTAAAGATTTGTTCTGGTGTGAAAAATCATTCAGTTTTCACAATAGAACATGTCCCCCAATCACTACTTGGTTCCCTGCGCTCTCCTGAACAACGTATCGCGGTAATTTTACGCAGAATTATGATTTGGACAGCTTGAGGTAATTACAAAAAAAAACCAAACTTGTCGTTGTCGAAAAACTATGTTGCGAAAATAATTTTTCTTTGAAAAAGCAGCTATTTTGTTTCACAAAAAAAGTTGTCCTCCAACTCTTACCACTTTCTTCGTGCTTACCCAAAACAACTGGCACAAGAGGCTCACACAGAAAAAAAACAATTGATTATTTGGGGAAAAAATGAAGAAAAAAAAAGCAGACCGAAGTTGCCAGCATCGAGAAACAATTTTTTGGACCTGTTTTATCGTGAAAATGAAGCGTGCATCGTTTTAACAACATAATATGTCTCTCGACCACAACTACGTTCCTCGTGCTCACCAGAATCGAGTAGCACAAAAAAACTGCCCAAAACTATGATTTGGACATTATGCATTAACTTTAGAAAAAAAAACAGAAAAAAATTAGACCATTTTTGTCGGTAGTGAGAAAAGTTTTTTGGACATATTCTGTTGTGAAGATACAGCTCGTTTTGTTTTCACAAAATTATTTGTATCCCAAGCCCCACCACGTTCCTCATGCTCACCTGAACCGATTAGCACAAAAAGTTTTCGCAGGGTTAAAACTCGGACAATTCGAAATAACTTTTAAAAAGGGAAACAATCACACCAAATTTTTGAGGCATTGGAAAAAGTGTTTCTGGTCATCATCTATTGTGGAAAGAAATGTCGCTTCGGTTTTACAGTACTAGGTGCTTCCCAACCACGATCAGGTTCCTCGCGCTCACCAGAATCGAATAGCACAAAAAATCATGATGTTTTACTACTCGGACAATTTGAAGTAATTTCAGAATTTTTTTTTCATAAAAAACGGACCAAGTTTTAAGGCATCCAGAAAAAAGTTTTCGGACGTGTTCTTTTGTGCGAATGAAGCTCGCTTCGTTTTTTCAATATAGCCTGTTTCTCAACCACCAACACTTTCTTCGCGTTCACTTGAAACTATTAGCACAAAAAGTTTTCGCAGAAATACTACTTGGACAATTCGAAATCACTTAGGAAAAAACAGGAAAAAGAATCTCACCACTTTTTTAGGCATCGAAGAATGTGTTTTTGTTCATCTTCTACTGTGAACAGGAATGACGCTTTGGTTTCACAGTAGTACGTGTATCCCAACCACGCACCACGTTCCTCGCGCTCATCCAAAATCGAGTAGCACAAAAAATTAATTATGTATTACTACTCGGACAATTTGAAGTAGTTTCACTAAAAAAAAATTGAAAAATTAGACCAAGTTTTCAGGCATCCAGAAAAAAGTTTTTTGGGCATGTTTTTTTTGTAAAACAAAGCTCGCTTCGTTCTCTCAATATAACATATTTCTCAACCACCACCACTTTCCTTGCGCTCACCTGAAATGAGTAGCCAAAAACACTTGTGCTCATGCAGAATTACTACTTGGACATTTTGAAATTATTTCAGAAAAAAAAACAAATCAGACCAAACTTCTAGGCATCGAGAAAGTTTTTCCAGGCATTTTTTTTGTGAAAATTAAGCTCGCTGTTCTTTTGTGAAAATTGTGACAAGTTGCACTGTGAAAAGGAAATTCGATTACTGTTCGGCAGTTTGCAATAATTGTCGACAAAATTTGGTTTAAAAAATCATCAGACTAAACTTTTTGGCATCGACAAACGTTGTTTAGGGAATGCTGTTTTGTGAACATGAAGATCGTTTCGTTTAACAATATTTTTTGCCACCCAATCACCACCATGTTCCTCGCGCTCACTTAAAATGTTTCCGCAGAACTCCCAGTTGGACAGTTTTTTACAGACAAAAAAATAGAAAAAACAATCAGACCAAGTTTATTGGCATCGAGAAAAGTTTTCTCGAATGTGTTCTATTGTGAAATTGAAGCTCGCTTCAGTTTCACAATAATAAAAAGTCTCCCAGCCACCACCACGCTCCACGCCTAGGACAAAAAGTTCATGCAGAATTACTACTTGGACAATTTGAAAATAATTCGGAAAAAAAAGTGAACAATTTTTTCGGCATTGAGCAACATGTTTTGTGCAAATTGTCTTTAAGAGGCACTTAGCGTAATCGTTTAATCGATCCCCCGCTATGGCAAACATACTGTGTGAGGCCGAGCTCTCGCTTGATCTCCAGCTTCAGGACTACCACAGCCTGACCGATTTCGGCTGCAATAGCGGCACCACGTAAACATACTAGAATAAAAAAACGACCTTGAAGGACAAAAAAAAGTGCTTCGCTCAAAAAACTCAGTCTGGAATGTGGGGAAATAAGAAAAAAGGGTTATGGTTAGACAGGCTGCAAAATTTTTCATAAATCCTCTGCGAATCGCAGGAACGACAATTATACACGAGGCGAGCCAAATACTTATTTTTTTATAATTTTTTTTAATATAAATTCGGATAGTTCTTATTATATCATCGCTTTAAGTAGTCACAATTTGGCCTGCAGCCGGTACCACAAGAGGACAATCATTTCGTCAGTGAGAGAGAGTCATCATTAAGTAAGAACTGCTACAATTTTGCTAAATTAGAGACTATGAATATGTCTTTAATATGAAAAAATTAGTCTGTAAGCAAAATACATTGAATGATGTAGCACCGAGACATAGACGTTGAGGTGTAAAGCTACTGTTGTGGTCGGCAATTCAAGGCCACTGCAATAACATGACTAGAATTTCCGGTTTCATTTCAAAATGCTTACTTCATTACTTTCCGATAATGGTCCTTTACTGGCTTTTCGTTTAGTGGCTTTTCATTTTTTGAGTTTAAAAAACAACAAGTAAAACTTGTAGTGTACGATAACTATGCGCGCTTTTTCAAGGCTCCCAAAATCATCTTGTTGGATGAGGCAACTTCTTCCCTGGACACACAGACCGAGAGGAACATCCAGAGTGCACTTGATGACGTCAGCAAAGACAGGACTACTCTGGTAGTGGCCCACAGACTGTCCACTGTGGTCAATGCGGACATGATCATGGTCCTCAAGGATGGGGTCATAGTCGAGAGAGGGACTCACCAGGAGCTCATAGGCACTACTGGAAGTGTCTATTCTGAGATGTGGAACCAACAAGCTAGCGCTGACGAGGACCAGAAACTGTGAACACTGTGAACTAATTTTAATCGTTGAAAGAAAACCTAGCGAATCTTGGCAAACATTTGCAAAATACTTCCAAGATTTTTTCGAACTAAATTTGTTGCCTCTTTAAATTGTATGGAACTAATGAAAACATGATTCAATTTCAGATAAAATCAATCTTCTGTGTGTCTTTTTTTCTGTCTTTTCTTACTCTCAAGCAGTTAAACTTCAATCACACTTGAATGCAGAAACCTATTC